TTAATTATGCACTATAGCCGAACCCGATTTTTCGTGATGGGGGTGACAGGTTAATAGGGATAGCATTCGCATTTACTGTTCGTTTATTTTTGGTTCGCGCATTTTATATCTACATCTAAAAAACAATTTTAACGAGCCGAAATGTTGGAAAAAACTTTAGAAGAGTACGTAAGATGTCTGTCTGATTTGACTTGAATAAAGACAATTAAATATTAATGATAATTCAACATACCAAACTATTAGTTCTAAACTTTTCTGCTCTTCTTTCTATCAAATATCAATTAATAATTGGCTATAAAGAAAGACGTTGAAACACAATCGAACAACAATATGCGTTCACGACGCGTATAAAAACAGTTGAAAATCGTTCGATGTAGCATCACATCTAGCAGCAATAATACAACATAAAAGTATATTAATTTTAAAAATTCGATATTTCGGTAATTATAATAGCTAGGACCATGCAGTTTTCGCGATTATACAATATTTGTCTTATCGCATGTAATTCAGAACTCTGACATTTTCGATCAGAACTCGTGATTTCAAAAATATCTCTGATATTTAAAGTTAATTTTTTAAACTAAAAACTGCAGAACTCTTGCAAAAAAGTATCAGGAACTATGTAACTATTCAAAAGAGCATCAGAACTATGCTCAGAACTATTTAATTTTGATGTGTCAAAAGTCGTGAAGTTGGCACCCCCATTTTTCGAAATCTACTTTCATTGTGATAATGGACAGAACTCTTTATAAAAATTATCAAGAACTCTTTCTTTTGTTCTAAATAACTCAGAACTCTTAACAGAACTATAGTATCGTAACATAGGGGTGCCAACTTCACACACCTGTCGCGCGCCTGGTAGTATGCGGTACACACTTCATGGCGCGTGGCTCACCGACGTGTGCCCGGCTAAAAGTTAGCGCTGATTGGCCAGACTTTATTCAATAATAACTCCTTTATTAAGCGTTATAAAAAAAATGGCTCAGGACTTTTCGTCTCAGTTTTTGGTAAGGAATAACGCTATGTACTTGGTGGGCGGTCATTGCCGGTCACCCTGTAGAAAACAACTTTCCATTAACAAAATAAGATAACACAATTTAAAATTTCTAAATGTATATCTATATATTTATATTAACATCTGCTCTCTCTTTCTTTTCTATTTTACAGTTATCTTTATCTATAGAACTTATGTGGCAATTATCACTCTCATCGTCATAAAATATGACAAAACCTTGGTTACAAACTGCAAACACACACAATATAAATTTTTTAAAATATATCAAATATAAAAGTCAAATATATAATATACTGTTGAAAAAGTTATGTATTATACATATGTATATGTATGTACTAATAAATAAAAAAAGTTTCTCACATCGGCATAATATTCTAGAGTAAGAGCGGGTAATAAGCTACTCATAGTTATCAAAAGTGGTTGCTGATTTCTTTGAAGCATTATGCAAATATCGCTCTTCATTTTTTGCGTCTTACCAATCCATGAGGCACTATACACCGACCAGGAAAGTCGTGTACTCTATTAATAAAAGCATATTACAAACTGTCTTATATTTTTTCTTTTATGTTTACAGAATCATACATATATATGTATGTTGCTAAGAAAATTCTATTATATAAATCATGCTTATTATTTTTTTAGAAAACTTACGATTTCTTTCAAATCATCTGCTGTCCATGCTGTGATAAACATTCGTTGTAATGCGCCTATAGGCATAGATAAATATTGAGGAACCAGAGCAAAAGAATGTAGCTGTAGCTGTTCCCAAAATTAAAGTTTCTAAAGTTATAAATTCTAATACTTATGCATCTACTTACATTTACATTATATCACAAGATGCTTACATATAATATGGGAAAACCACCACTGATTACAGTAAATGCCATTGTGAAATTAGTTTTAAAAAGAATATATTGAAGAGTATCTAAAAACTGCAGAACTCTTGCAAAAAAGTATCAGGAACTATGTAACTATTCAAAAGAGCATCAGAACTATGCTCAGAACTATTTAATTTTGATGTGTCAAAAGTCGTGAAGTTGGCACCCTCATTTTTCGAAATCTACTTTCATTGTGATAATGGACAGAATTCTTTATAAAAATTATCAAGAACTCTTTCTTTTGTTCTAAATAACTCAGAACTCTTAACAGAACTATAGTATCGTAACATAGGGGTGCCAACTTCACACACCTGTCGCGCGCCTGGTAGTATGCGGTACACACTTCATGGCGCGTGGCTCACCGACGTGTGCCCGGCTAAAAGTTAGCGCTGATTGGCCAGACTTTATTCAATAATAACTCCTTTATTAAGCGTTATAAAAAAAATGGCTCAGGACTTTTCGTCTCAGTTTTTGGTAAGGAATAACGCTATGTACTTGGTGGGCGGTCATTGCCGGTCACCCTGTAGAAAACAACTTTCCATTAACAAAATAAGATAACACAATTTAAAATTTCTAAATGTATATCTATATATTTATATTAACATCTGCTCTCTCTTTCTTTTCTATTTTACAGTTATCTTTATCTATAGAACTTATGTGGCAATTATCACTCTCATCGTCATAAAATATGACAAAACCTTGGTTACAAACTGCAAACACACACAATATAAATTTTTTAAAATATATCAAATATAAAAGTCAAATATATAATATACTGTTGAAAAAGTTATGTATTATACATATGTATATGTATGTACTAATAAATAAAAAAAGTTTCTCACATCGGCATAATATTCTAGAGTAAGAGCGGGTAATAAGCTACTCATAGTTATCAAAAGTGGTTGCTGATTTCTTTGAAGCATTATGCAAATATCGCTCTTCATTTTTTGCGTCTTACCAATCCATGAGGCACTATACACCGACCAGGAAAGTCGTGTACTCTATTAATAAAAGCATATTACAAACTGTCTTATATTTTTTCTTTTATGTTTACAGAATCATACATATATATGTATGTTGCTAAGAAAATTCTATTATATAAATCATGCTTATTATTTTTTTAGAAAACTTACGATTTCTTTCAAATCATCTGCTGTCCATGCTGTGATAAACATTCGTTGTAATGCGCCTATAGGCATAGGTATATATTGAGGAACCAGAGCAAAAGAATGTAGCTGTAGCTGTTCCCAAAATTAAAGTTTCTAAAGTTATAAATTCTAATACTTATGCATCTACTTACATTTACATTATATCACAAGATGCTTACATATAATATGGGAAAACCACCACTGATTACAGTAAATGCCATTGTGAAATTAGTTTTAAAAAGAATATATTGAAGAGTATACTGTGTTTTTGAAGTAAATCTGCTCATATAAAGAAATGTGCAAATTAAAAAATAAAGTCAACATATTATATATTCTGAAAGTTAACAAAATTTATAAAAAGTAGTAGTGAGAAAAGGGAAACACATATGTTATAGCATAAAAAATTTATATTTACTCAAATATTAGTATTTGAATAAAAAGTAAAGTTATAAATAAAATAATTTAAAAAAAATTGCTTTTTATAAACTTTTATTTTTAAAAATTGTAAGACAGACTAAAAAGACTGAAGACTGAAGACAAAGTATTGATTTTAAAAAATTGTAAATGGCTATTTTTACTCATACTATATTATAGATTGATATATTAATTAAATTTCTGCAATTAGAGCGAAAATTGGTATGCTATTTTGTCATAATGTTCTGAAAGATCTAAAAGATATTTTATTTCTATCTTACTCTATTATTTCCTGATGTTTTTTGATAGACGATATGACATGAGTTTCATCCGTAGCTTGTTCTATTTCAAAAGCCAACATTTCCAGTCTAGCTGCTGAATACAAAAAGAAAACAGCCATCATGATGTCCACATTAAGACAGAAAACAGTGTGCGCGGTTGCAAGTATATGCGTAACATAGAGAATAAACTTTCGTAACAGTGGTTCCATTGAAAACGGATACCATACATTCAGAGGAAACTCCTGAGGCATAAATAAAGGGGCACAAATGACAGCAACACCTGCCATACAGAAGAGTTGAAACTTCAGATGAACGATTGCCATATCGTGGCATCAATTTCTGTTTTACTGAATATTCTGGATATCTCCGAGACATTGAGCGACGCATCAAGGAAATATTGTAGAAAAAGAAATGGGAGTTGGAGGCGGAACGATGCAATCAATAGCGCATTTATTATTTGTTCGCTACATGTGCGCAATAATGCTTGTAGGCAATCGCTCTGTATGCAATTGGGAGTATCGGCAAACGAAGCTGTCGGCAAAATATTGTGGACAAATGAAGCCGTTGGCAACCGGGAATATAGGTAAATAGAACCTTTTTCTTCTATATATGTGATCAAATTCGCAATTCAATATGTAAAAATATTATATACTAAATATTTTAAATAAAAACATTGATAACTAATTCATTGTGGATATATATTAAGATATATCGGCAAACGCTAAACTTTACTTATCGATTACTTATATAAATACGATGTGTATTGTCGGAAACTGACATTATATATATTTGTGCGTAAAGATGTTCATTGAAAGAGTAAAAAGATAAAAATTGTGCAAATTAGAAACTTGCACATTGCTTCCTCATCTTTTTTCTTGCTCACAAAACTTAAGCTCCTTAAAGCAAGCGGGTTTTTCAATTTTTGCTTTTTCATAGAGGAAGATATCTCAGAATTTGCGAAAGTTACATCGTGTACAGACATTTCCCAAAAAATTCAAAATTTTATAAAAAGTGATTTCTTTCACCGATTCTCACTAAATTCAATATCAACCATCCTTTAATGATACTCTATTTATGTAAAAATATTTAACCCGATATCTAAAAATGTGTAAAAGTTAGAGCGTGTATAAATATTTCTCAAAAAATTCAAAGTTTTATAAAAAATGGACCCTTTCACCGATTCTTTTTTCACCGATTTCACCAAATACAATAATATCAATCCTTTAATGATACTACATTCATTTTAAAAAAATTTGCCCGATATCTCAAAAATTGCGGAGGTTAGAGATTGTACAATACATTTCGTACATACCTAACCATACATATATACATACATACAGACATTTTTTAAGAAAATGATTTTTCAACGTTTTGGAACATTCTAAATACATTAACATAGAAGACTCAAAAATTTTGTCAGGAAAACATAAAAACTTTCTCTATGAGGAAGCAAAATGATTACAATATTTATTTTCAGTATATTTGGTTTACCAAATTAAAGAAAAATATAAATAATATGTGTTATAAAATATAACTTGTTTCTCATTAATAAAATAAGATAACACAATTTAAAATCTAAATGTATATTTACAGTTTTATATTTTAACATCTCTCTTCTTTTTCTCTTCTATATTACAGTTATTTTTATTTATAGGACTTATGTGGCAATTACTGCTCTCATCGTCATAAAATATGACAAAACCGTAGTTACAAACTGTGAATACACACAATATAAATCTTTTGATATATTATGCCACAAATGTAAAAGTAATATATATTTTTGAAAAAAGTATGTATTAATGCATGTACTAATAAAAGAAGGAAATGTTTCTTACATTGCCATAATATTCTAGAGTAAGAGCGGGTAATAGGACCATAGATATCAAAATCGTTTGTTGGCTTTTTTGAATCATTATGAAAATGTCATTTTTCATTTTTTGCGTCTTATCAATCCATGATGCACTATATACCGAGAAAGGAAGTCGCGTACTCTATAAATAAAAGCAAGTTACAAATTGTATCTTATTTTTTTCTATGTATAATAAAATTATATATGTGTGTGTATGTTTTATATACAAATTATTTTTGCTTCAGATAGGCTTATAGTTATTATCTTATTATATATTTTTAATCTTATTATATATTTTCATGTTATTATATATTTTTAATATTCTAATAATATAACTGGGGGGAGGGGGGGCTATGAAACACAATATATTCTATATCTATTTAAAAATTCCTAATTTTTTTAAATTTTTGTCTTAAATTATGATATACGTATATACAATTTTTAAATATGTTTTGGGCCTATTTTATTTTATTTATTGTTTTGATCATACGTTGGATTTTTATGTTGTAATGTAACAGATGACTTAAGGTTAATAAACTGAACAATGAAGAAATAAAAATGAGGAGTGTGGGTAGGAATTGAAAATGCTAAATATGAAGATATAATGACAAAATAAATGCGTTTTATAAGCTTTTTACCATAGCTTTTTATTATTTTCTTTGAAAACTTACGACTTCTCTCAACTCATCGGCTGCCGATGCTGTGATATATATTCGTTGTAAAGCGCCCACCGCCGTAGATATAAATTCAGGAATCAGAAAAGAAGATTGTATCTGCGTTTTTAAAAATTAAAGGTGTCAAAATTATAAGTTTTAATACTTAAGCATCTAGTTACACTTACATTATATTACAAAATGCTTACATATAACATAGGAAAAGCACTGGCAATTACAGCAAGTGCCATCGTAAAATTAGTTTTAAAAAGAATATATTGAAGAGCTTGCTGCATGTTTGAAATTAACCTGTTCATAAAGAAATGTGTAAATTAAAAAATATAGTCAGAAATTATTCTAAGATTATTAAATTTATGAAAGATAGAATAAAAAAAAGAAAAGCATGTAATGCACATATCTAAAAAAGATTTTTATTTGTTCATATATAACTGGTTGAATTATAGGTAAAATTAAAGTAGATTAAAGTAATAAAAAAAATTTGCTTTTTTATAAATTTTTATTAATAAAATTGATAAAGCGAATTTTTTCTCTTTTTTGCAGGGTGGACAGCAAAGAAGTAAAACAAAATTAGTATACATACACAATATATATATATACATCTATATATAATTAATCTAATTTTGTTTTACTTCTCTGCTTTCTCCCCCCCCCTCCTGCAAAAGAGAGAAAACTATATTTCATATATTGTAAATGCACGATAGCTACGCATAGTTATTATGCACTGATTAATTAAATTTCTGCAACTAGAAAGATAATTGGTACGCAACTCTGTCATTAATGTTCTTGAAAGATTTAAAAGAATATTTATTTTTATCTCACTTTATTATTTTCTGATGTTTTTTGATACACGTTATAATATAAGCTTCATCAGCAGCTCGTTCAATTTCAAAAGTTAATACCTCCAGTTTGGCTGCTAAATAGAACAAGAAAAAAGCGATCATAACGTCCATACCAAGACACAAAACAACGTGTACAATTGAAAATGTCTGCATGACGTAGAGAATAAACTTTCTTAATAACGGTTTTGTCGAGAACGGATACCATGCGTTCAAAGGAAGCTCCTGAGATATAAGTAAAGGAGCACAAATGACACAAGCCCTGCTATACTGAAGGCTGTTGCAACAGTCGTTATAAATGTACTATAACGATCTATATACTTTTGCAGAATAACTCTTTCGTGATCCTTGGAAAACTTCATAAATTCCTCGATGTTTACTACCAATTTCTAAAGCATATTATAAATGATGCGTTCTAGTACATTAGTTGAAACAAATCTTTTATGTATGCCTTGTATAGAGAGAAACATTAATAATTTTTATTTTTATTTTGCCATTTTATTTTGATATTTTATTTTTTCTGTATACGTATGTATATACAATATATATAATTAAAATTCGAATTTACTGTAATATACAGGGTGAGTCATTTTAATCAACGCACGCAAATATCTCGTAAAGTAAGCAAGATGGAAAAAAATGTTTTATACAAAAGTTGTAGGGTTCAGAGGGGGATACATGATGAAAATATGGACTTGACCTTGAGTGACATTTTCAAGGCCAAGTTAATGTGATCGATATTTTCTTAAATGGAACTCCCCATTTTTTATTGCATATTCTTGTAGCTTATCTCGAAAGCTTTTCAAAACACTATAATGAAGTATTTTTTCATTAAGTACTTTTT